AGTAAGTCAGATTTGTAAAATGGATGTGCGTGCCACACTCAGGTTCTGGGACAAGACTAAAGTATCTAGGTGGAGGAATAACCAGAACCTTCAGCTGGAGTTGCAGCTGGTGAATGAGAAGAAGACATAACATAGTTATATTATGGCACCACTATGATTACAAAGTAGCGTTCAGTCAAATGTGGGAATTGAATTTAGGTCATCAATGGAAATAAGCCTTTAAATTAGCTGTATATGAGGCAGGTAACAAGGGACATGTGCGATGACTAAAATCACACTCATGAAAGAACTAGCAGGATAACACTCACTAGCTTATCCTTAAAATAAATACAGCAGCAGTTCTTAACTGGTAGCCCATGGATCACCAAGGTCTGTGGAACAAATTTAATGATATCATTTAGTAGAAAAGATTACCCTCAACACATTTTCACTGTTTGTGCAGTTCTAATATAGACTGACTTTAGAGTGTTTTTTTTTCTTATTTTATTTTCATTTTTAAATGACTGTTGAAAATTAGGGGGTCAGTGGCAGGCCTTCAAAAATAAGAGGGGTCTATGGGTCATCTAATTGGGAACCACTAAAAAAAGGTCTTTGCAATAATTATCATCTTTCGTGACTCAGATTATGAATTAATATGAAAAAAGTGCCTGGTATCCATGCACATACATACACACATACACATACATAGTTAGATACAAAATTCCTAAGAAATAAATTTATTTACAGTATTAAAAAATTTAATTAAAATGGTTCTTGAAAGAAACCTTGACTTTTACATTAACAACAGAAAATGCTTAAGACATATATACAAGACAACAGTAGATAAATTATCTAAACATAACTGCCAATGAAATAATTTAATAAATAATAATGTGTTATGGCACATAATATATTAAAAATGCTGGAAAATATATGTCTCTTCCTTCCTTTTTCATTTATATTCATACATGTATTTGCAAGCACTCACACACACAAACGCATTATAACAGAAAATTGAGACTGAAGTATCAATGTGAACAACCAACAAACTTAAGTAATCATAATTAAAAATACAAATGTGAGAATGAATCACCTGCTTCAATATCTCTAAGGATGTAGAAAAGGATTCTTTACTTTTCTAATGAGAACACTATGCTTGGCATAATGAAGATGTACAAAAAGAAAGTCTGGAAAGAACTTAAATCACAAAAGGAGCTGGTTACCATTTTCAGAGAGACAATTTGTATTCTTTGCATGCATCATGAGCAATGAATAAATGAAGTACATTGTTGAAGAAGTGAGAAAAGAGAAAAGATGCTAGATACTTTGGCATAATGGGATGGAAAACATCAGTATCATGACTGGCAGCACATGAGGATGTAGACTAACCTTAAGACCACTGCCACATGGTACTATACCTTGTAAGGAGAAGAATACAAAAGAAGAAGAGAAAGAAAAGATTACACTTATAACATCAATCATCATCCTTGTATGGGATGCAATTTTTCGTTATTTGAAGCCTGACCCTGGCTTCTGCCAGGGGTCCTGAATATAGCCAGGGCACTGATATGGCCTAGCCATAGATAAGGCCTAATGGCTGAAAGGCGTTTCTGGAACCTGTCCATGGGTGATCCTCATCCGCGTGGTGGCATTTTGTGTCACGGGGTGTTTATCGCTGGTGTGATGTCCTAAGTAAAAAAAGTAAAGTAAAGATCCCTTTTCACGCCTTTCGGCGCATTGGGCATATGGGCAGAGCGTCCCATATTTTTCACAGACCATCAGCACTCGGAGGGTAATGTGGTCAGCATTACGCCGGCTGTGGGGCCAAAAACGCAATTTAAAGTGTGTGTCTATTCACAAGTGTGTGTGTATGTGTTTTGTTGTTGTTGTTTAATTGTTAAATGTGTAAATATAATTTAATTTAAATTATAACAACTGTAGCAGTCAGACATGCTGTGTACTTAAAAATATGTTAATCACCATGTCTTTAACAGCTTCTACAAGCTATTTTCCCCAGAAAACTTCTCTAAATTTACAACTGGAGAGAAAATCAAAAGTGAAACCTGGCCATCTATGACATAAAACATTGTTATGTTTTAAGACCGCATTAAAATATAAATTATATCACAATTTAAAAAAAAAAAAAAAAAAAAGAAAAGAATGTCACAATATATAATATTCATACAGTAATTACAGTTGCTTCAAAAAAAAAAAAAAAAAAAGGCACCACCATTTTGCAGCTTTTCTCAGGTAGCTCATTGAAACTGAGGAAAGTGACAAAGTAGATGGTGAATACTGAAGAATTTGTGCTAAGTCTCTCTTGGAATGAATTGAGATGACAAAGATAGTGTGGATTTCAATCGTCAACAAATATGTCACACTTGTTCTCTGTTAACAAACCCACTGTCATTCAAAGAACACATGAATTAATAAGCTCTTCTTTAAAAATGGTGCCACCTCTGTGGAGATTGGCTGCAGTGGATATGCAGGCTTACCGCTGTCTTTAGGAATATTACACAACGAGGCTCCAATATCTTCCACAGTATGAATCTTGTACCTCTGACTGAAAGGGATAAACACAGTTTCTTTTTTTCTGAGCCACCTGCTGTTGAAATTAAACCATGGTTATGTCAAGCACCATAAAACACTTTGAATAACCAATAACCTAAAGTGTTGTGTCCACTGAGAATGCGTTGTGATGCTATACCAAAAAGGCATATATCAATAAAGGAGAGGACAAAGAGCACAAGGTCAATACTGTCTGTATTTACCAACTTTTTTAGGGCTGTGCAGACAGGGAGGTCGTAAGCCTGAGGATTGAGGACTGCATGGCTAGTGCTGTCGATATGGACTGTGCAGGTTAGGATGTTTATTTTTTCAGCTGACAGAATAACTCTATCAACTTACCGGGAGTCAAATCCGGGTCTCGCGCATGAGAACCTGACAATGTAACCACTCGGCCAGCCACTCCTCTGTTGGTTAAACAATGTACAAAATGGGTTGTCAAGAGTAGACAATTCAGTTGGATAAACAATGTACAAAATGGGTTGCCAAGAGTCGACAATTCAATTTGACAAACAATGTACAAAATGGATTGTCAAGAGTAAACAGCTCAGTGTACATAACAATGTACAAAATGTCTCCTTAGGAAGACTAAGCAGTGTTATTTCATGTTGTGGTAAACTCACATGTATTAATCATTAGTAAAGTAATAATATAACCTCATACATCTGCACATGTATCTGTCTCCTCCAGACAGTTCCCAATAAAGGATCCACTGTACCATTTGGGTGGGGGGGGGGGGGGGGATATGCCCACTAGCCCTGAACAAGCAGGTCAAGAAAGCTGAATAATTAATGCTTTGCTAAAACTGGATGTGTTGGACAAAAAGGTGCAGATAACACTGCATAGCTGTAAACTCCAATGCAATGTGCTAACTGTCCTTTAAATGGTGAGCACAGAAGAAGAAGAAGAAGAAGGAAAAAAAAGAAGAAGAAAATAAAAGAAGAAGAAGAAGAAGAAAAAAAAAGAAGATCCAGATAGTTATGTTGTTTTATTTGTTTATACAAAATCATGTACTTTTTATGTACAACAAGTGTAAGAAATAAGATTATACAAGAACCAAAAATTAATAATTTGGATTTGTGGAGGAAAAGGGCATGAACAAAATACACATCATTCCCTTAATGACACATGACTTCATGGCATACCACTTGGGACTCTAATTGAAACTTTGTTGGATGATGAAAGGAGTATCTGGATTTTGCCTAGCTGGATTGCCATCCAGGATGCAATGCCTACATTTTCAGGTGTGATTAACTCTTTGAGTCCCAAGGAGCGTATCACACGTTCATAGTTTCTACGTAGAGGCCCAATTAACGCATGATGTGCCGATTTAACATCTCTTTTGGCTACCCCTTTGGTGTATGATGATAAACCCCCTGGGACTCAAAGAGTTAAATCATAAGGTAGCAGTCAGGAGACAAACAATACCCTGCACATTATCATAAATTATTAGAGAGAGATCCTGTACTTCATAGACCAAACAAACATATTTGACAGTATGATGTTTATGTTTATTCACCGGATCAACATCATGGCACATGGGTATAACCCATAAGTGCTCTGTTCTACTTCTAACTCAAGCCTGAGTCTGAAGAATCTCGGTGCATTACTCCATTACACCGGCGAGGATCCTGAAATACTTTGAGTAGATTGTTAACTCCAAATTTTGCCTAAGCAGCGCCGTTAGGCTACTCCTTTTGATTTCCAACTGCCAAGGGATCTTTTACGTGTGCAACAATACACAAGGATGTTTGATTTTACCACCCAGAAACCAGGGTAAATTACTAGAAGTCCAAGTGAAAAAATCCCAGCCTTTACCGGGGCTTGAACAAGAACAATTAAAAATGATGGCAAAGGCCTGTTCATAAACAAAAACGTATACTGACAACAAACTGCAGTTATAAGAATCAACAACTACTTGTGAATGTTTCTCTTTATAAAGAAGAATGTTAGGTGAAGAGATTATAAAAATTATTAGAACAATACCCATAATTAATTTGCCTTCAACCACCATGTTAACTCTGGGGGTGACTCCAGTCAAGCTAATACAATAATTTCACTGGAATACCATGTTAACTAGTACAGTAGAGCATGTGTTCTCTGTAGCTTCATTTTTGAAGTATCATGTTTTCATGACATGATCAAATGCTATATTCATGGTGTTTTTAATATTAATCTGTAAAATTACAAGTCTGTGGATGAACTTGCTTGTTTAGTAATTATCTAAAAGTCACAACCATATGTTACAATTATTTCTATGTAAACAATTGATCATACATCACATATTCTTTCTTTGAAAACCTATTCTGCTGCTGTTGTTTACAAAGTAGAAGTAAAACATTATGTTCTGACATGTGCAAAATGAATAATTATTAATTAGAATGCTTATTAGAATGTTTATTTCAGATGTTTACATTGTGTTAAATTACTCAAATCTGGTATTAACCATGTTTTTTTTAGTGACCTTTACTTAAAGCGTGGAGTTCTATGGCATCTGTAGATTCTGTTGAATGCAGAAGTGGTGTTGTAGAACTTTCATATTTCCCTTTGGATTTGTGGACTAGTGCATCACCTTCAACAGATGAACAAAAACCAGACTGTTTAGCATTTCCCCTGGTAAAGAAGCTTTCACCATTTGGTGACTGTGAATTGTCTGCATCTGTACTCGGGATACTGAACCTGTTACTCACTGAAACACCACTTGCTGACAACATATCTGATGATAGTGATGAATCATGATTTATGTTTTTGGGAATACCACCACATTTTCCATTGGCGAGACTGTTTCTATATTCAGAGCTATCACCCAGTAGAAATACATACTCTGAGTCCTCATAATCATTTTCTAAGGCTTCACTTTGTCCATCGCCATTACACACTTCTTCTTGCTTCACATGATTTGTGCTACTAGAACTGTATTTGCCTGTATCTGGCATTATTTCAATATTGTCAGATATGGTTACACTCTTTGCTGATGATCCTAACCTAGTGCTGCATGGTTTTTGAGGGGAAACAACTGGCACAGACATTTCTTCTTGAATTATATCAGATCGGTGACTTTCGGTAGGCTTTGGCTCTGCTGCCAGCGGTGACATGATGTATGCAGATATAGCAATGGCTGGAATTGTAGGAAAATTTGCGCTCTCGATACTTTGGGTTGAGGAACTAGAAATAAGAGAACACTTGGAGTTTTTACGAATGTCAACACTGGCCCGCTTGTACTCTGGCTTCTTTTTGAGGTGATTGCTGGCCACGTAATATTTGAGAAATGCTTCTAGAGAACGTTTTCCTCGTTCCATAACAAATTCAACATCTGCAGGTTCAAGGACAAAGTCTGAAGTTCCTACATGACCTGTATTGATGCCAACTGTGCGTTTGAGATCTCTTTCCTGCATAAAACAAAAACATATTTGGTTTGGTAATTCTTTAAAATACTTGAAGAAAGAGTTTTAATCAGTGAGGAATTGTAACTTTTTGCTAGAATAAATATAACAGTTGGGATTATGTGCACACATTTACATGACTATGTGTAACAAGAAAATATAAAAACATGTATTTTCCCATGTAGGAAACAAACATTTGTGTGTGTGTGTGTTAAGAACTGTTTTCATGCTATACGCTCACTGAGCATATAGTGCAAGACCCTATTTTTTTTAAATTGACCACTAAAATGTTTGATGAATGATGCTGTCAACATCCTCCCAACCACTTTACCTCCAAAGAAGTTTCCTGGTACCTGTTTTAGGCTAGGTGGACCTGGAAGCCATGGTCATTTTATTGTTAAAAATCTACCATGATGAAGATTGAATCCCAAGACCTTTGGGTCAGTGAGCAAGCATTTATTCCCTGTGTTACCACAGCCATCATACTGTTAGTGTATAACCGTTATATAGCCTGATTGCATTATTGTAAAATCTAAGCTAATTCTTTGCTCTTTCATGTTTAACAGAGCACCACGTTTGATTAAAAAAATTAAAGTTAAAAAATTAAATTGAGCCCATTCATAACTCATTATTGCCAAACAAAGCACCATGCATAACTGAAAAAAGAAAATAACTTTTTACTTCTTTTTGTTTTAAAAAAGCACCATGTGTCATTGACTTTTCCTCAAAAATATAAATTAACGGGTCATGTTTGATAGTAATTGTTATGATAGCATAGTG